TAATATGTCATGAATAGTCTCTACTAAACTATTAACTAATCCTGCTGCTGTCTAAATATTTGATGTTAGTATAATTCTGGATCCTTTGGCCAGTAATAATTAAGCTTCAAGGTCATATGCATTATCAGAATCAGTTCTCTTAGCTTCAGTTTCACTTGTATATATTGCGTGAATTTTTGCTACTGGAACGTTTAGTGAATCAAACTTTGCTATGTTAACTGCGTTGACCTCAGACCACTTTGAAGAGAGGAACATAGAATTTGAGAATCAATCACGTTCCAGTCTGTTTATCTTGTTTTCAAATCTTCTAATAAGTTTTTTCCAATCATCTAATGTAGATTCCCCATTTCGAAGCCTTAATAGAATGTCTCTAATGCCTTCTTGTTCTTCTGAATTTCCTGTTTAACATTAAACTACGTCGAGTCTGTATACTTCCCTAAACAATGTATATGCTGCATGGCCGTTATTAGACAGCGGATCTCACAAAATGCTAGTGTACAGAGAGAGATCAAGCACAGGTGGAAGTTGATCAAAATCACCAAACATAATTATCGATCTACCTCCAAAAGGTACATTATTGTGTTCTGGAAAGGCTTGTTGTAATCTTAGATCAATCAAAGAAAACATTCGATGCCCAATCATACTCTTTTTGTCAATTATAAAATAATTTATATCCTTTAATTTTTCTCGTAGATTTTTTAGCTGCTCCCCCTCTAGATCAATATAGTTGCCATTACCATTTATTATTGGAATACTAAGTGCTGAATATATTGTTATTCTATTAATATTAAAGGCTGCAACTCTTGTTGGAGCAACCACGAATACAGGTGTCTTAGATTTAGTTGCAGCCATCTCATGAAGCCTACGTATAATTGCTTTAATGAGATGTGATTTTCCTGTTTCCGCCGTTTCCATTACAATAATTCTCAATGGTTCATCATCATGGCCTGTGAGCTTATTATAGTAGTGTACCTCTATTCGCTTAAACACTGTCGATTGATTTTTATTTAAAGTTCTATAATCCACTACTTCACATTCACTTTCTTCTATCTGCTTATAACTGGATGCTTGTTGTACAAAGGTATCGGTGTTTGCAAGATTGCTATTAGAGTATCTCTGTCTAGCATTATTAATCCAATCATAATTCCGATCTATGTCGCGAGACCCTAATTCAGAAGAACTATCAATAACAGCTTTTGGACCCATTTCTGCTAAAAACATCCAGTCAAACCAAAATTCTTCCTCTTCATTATCTTCAACTTGCTCTTCATTATTTTCATCATTAATTCTCTCTTCTTTGTTACTTACAGGTTTTCCAAGCAAGTCAACTGGATCTGAATTAATTTCTTCCTGGTGATGACTATATAAAGTTGACTATAGTATTGTTTTTGGTCAACTGTTCAAGATCACGATGTCAAACGTGAAGAAGAACTTTCACATACCAAAATTCTTCCCAATGAGGGCCGTTAATTAAATCTAAAGGCCATAGAAAGATACGTACTATATTTTCTTTATTACATTCTTTCTATTTATTCCTGCTAAATTTATACTTTAAATAAAGTTCAAATAACAAGAAGTTCTCAAGTTCTTCCGGGCAATCCCAATATAGCTCTAAAGGTGATCGCGTAGTTTGTCCTGTATCTTCAGTTTCATTAAAGTCATCACTATCATTGTTACCAGTTCTACAGAGCCATCTTAATGCTTCTTTGTTAAGATTCAGAGAAATGAAAGAGCAACTTGAGTGGTAAAGAGGAATTTCAAGCAAAAGATGGCATGTTTCTTGAGCAGAAAAGTTTCTCTCTGCAACACTTCTTAATAATAATTTCTGGACTAATGCATGAAATGGGTCATCAGGATTGCTATTATTAAGAATATGACTCAACATCTCAGAATAAGCCATTGATTGAGGTTCAGCTTTGCTTGCATACTTTGAAATGTATTGCAAAGCTGCATAGATACTAAGAATAGGCTTCAAGTTGATATTAGCACGCCATCCCTGCAATTGAAAATGGCTGTGAGGATTAATTAGAGAATTGTTTCTTGCAGTTACAAGTTCTGGGTTTCTATATCCATCATCACGCATAATGGTATATTTAGTATTTTCTTTAGGATACCCGAACCTGCAAATTTGTTGCCTACTTCAGTTAACACAAAGACAATAAGATAAACTACATCTTGTGTACCGTTGTAATTTATTGACCAGTTCAATATAATCCTGTAAATCATCATTTATTTCTTCGCTACTTTTTTGACATGGGTAACGATTAGGAATTGGTGCATTAAGCTCTGGATTAATAGTAGTGACAATAGTATTAAAATATTGTACTACTTCACTCATCCTATTTTCGTCTTTCTTCATTTGATTTCATTCTATTTCAGGTACATTTCTTTTTTCTTGATTCTATGCATGTAGACACTACCTCGATGCTGCCATTCATATCTATATCATCAGTCTTCCAAGTCCCACTGCCGCTTTATTACATCGTTGAAAAAAGTTTCAAACCTTTTACAGAAAAACCACACTGCAATATGCGGGTTATCTATGATATTTTGAAGGTGATTATTTGTTACTTCACTTTCTTCGTTAGCTTGTATAAGCTTGTGAAGTTCTGGCCAATGCAAATTAGAGCACTAAATGTGAAAAATATTAATCCACGTGAACCTATATATTTAATTATGTTCGTTAATTCACAGCGTCTTACTTTCTAAAATTGACGCGACCCACACAAACTTTCTCCAAATCGCATAATACGATCTGCAAGAAATTTATTACCCTGAGTGATCCATTCCTGAATATCTGTGACTGTAAGCTGAGCATCTTGTAAATTTTGTTTAATATAAATTCTTCCATCTTGTAGTGCTCGCCACCTCATCAATGAATTCAGTGCAAAGTATCTCTATTGAGTATGTCGTGCAAATCTTCCATCTTTATATTGGATTAGATGTTTAAAATATTCTGCTAGTTTGATATCTCTTGCTCTTTCTGAATGAAAATCTGCAACTTCTGTTAGATACAAAGTCGAAAATGCACGTGCAATATACCCTTGAGTTTGAAATTCATTAATGAGGTTATTGCCAATATGTGGCCATATTATTGTACCATTCTCATTTTGTATGCGATTCAAAGTATTGCTAATAGCTTCTTCTTCTCATTGAACTGAAGGAAGAGAAGGAACGAAAGTACGTGTAATTAATTCATCTTCATTGTCATCAGCTAAATTTTCAGATATTGTTTGAAGCTGATCGTTAATAGAGCCATTGATAGGCAATGATTGCAATGATTCATTATCAATAATAATATCGGAATAGTACCGATTGTTCGCCTTCAGCCAGCTTAGTGCACTAGCAATTTTGGCATGTCATACAGTAAAATCTTTGAACGATATTGAATTTTCAGATTGCCACCGCACAATCAACACATCTAATGAAGATGCATCCCGAAGAAGACGCGTTGTGAATTCTTTTACATCCTGAGGGAAATTTATAACATGCTCACGATATCCAAGTTGTCTTCCACGAAGTCGATAGACTGATATCACCAGAAAGACTTGCGATATTAACATTTCTTCTATTTCTGTTAGATCTCTTAGCTCTTCAGATACTTCCCTGAATTCATGTTATTCTCTACTGAAAACTTTTTTGGTAGATTTTTCTCAGAGTGACACCAACGGTATTCGCCCTTAACTAGCACAATTGATGGAAAGCACTCATTACATGTAAGACAAAGAGTATACTTAATCCTATCTATCTTAGAACGAAAATTTTCAAGAAGCTCTCTGTCCATTTTAGTAAGATCAGCTGAGGTAATTGCTTCACCATTTGTTTCTTGATTGTTCTCGTCATTTTGATATTGATCATAGCTTTCTTTAATAGTTGCATCCTGATTACAATGTACTTCATCTGTCTTTTCTAAATTTATTTGATTACTCTCTTTGTGGTTAGAATTTTGATCTTCAATTCGTTGATTAACTTTTTTTTTCTGCTTTCATTCGCGGTCATGTGAAAGTCGCGTCTCGCGTTCTATTGTAGTCTCCTGCGCTCTTTTTTGCCTTTTTTTTTCGTGATCATTTGCAAGGCGTACTTCCCGTTGTTTAGGTGTTTCCTTTTCTCTTTTTTTATGCATTCGAAGAGCATTATAAGAAATATTTTATTTCTCCGTTTTTATAATGCTATGTATTCTATTGCTAAAATTTTTCTTTTCACAGGTTAATTTATAATTATATATTCTTTTGTATAACTAACTACATTACACTTAAACATTGCTACGATTTATGATTTGGTAGTTTCTAGGTTTGCTTAATTTTATCTTTTCTTTTAGGTTTATTGCTTAATTTTATCTTTGCTTTTAGGTTTATTGAATTATTTATAAGGTTTATCTAATGTAAAAAACAGACAAGCCACTGAAAGCTACAAACTTTTTAGATGCATTTTTTTAAACCATGAATTAGTTTTAGTTGAAACAACCCTTATTATATAAAAAAAGAAATGAAAGAAACAAAGAAGTTTAAAATTTTCCTTTGTTCCTATTTTGGCTTGATTATTCATTAAAGTCTTGTGGACTATTACCTTAATTATATTAAGGAAAAGCGAAGATTAATTTTAGATTTAAATTTAAATAAACAACTATAATTGGGTTTTAGACGCTCAAATAGAGATCCTCTTCATTTTAACTCGATTACTTATGAATTAAATTTTTTTTAATCATTTACAAAATTTTTCAGAATTACTGGAACACTGATAAAAATTAGTATAATGATTTTTCAGCAGATTCGATTAAATTTAATTTCGTCATGATCAATATAATAAAAACTACTTTTGCTTCATAATTTCTTTTTTACAAAAAATTGTAACAATAATGTCAACATTATTAAACTTTCATTCGAATGCTTATCCAACATTTTACTTTTTACTTAATACTTATAAAAAATGCAATATACATTAGATTTTTTACACGAAATACATGTTAAAAGAAGATCTTCTATATAATTTTCAGTAAAGTTTTAAACTATTTGTATCGTTCATTTTTAGTTAACATAGTTCTGAAAGTCACACGAACTTTTTAATATATCTTTATTTTTAAAAGTGCTTAAGAACCTAACTTATAAAAAATAACTACCATTACGTGTTTGCTACTATTTAGAAATGATAGGCCTTCTAAATTTTTTTTTTTTTACTTATTTCTGCGAAGATTTCATACTTCTGTAATCTATTAGATATAATAATATTTAATACTTATTTCCATATAATACAGTATATTAATTTATTGAATTTATTTTGCTGAAATCACAAATCTGCTGAAACTCATTCGGCTACTTGTATCACATGTTCCTACTTTTTAAATGCTTAAATAATCTCAAATAACTATATTTGTTTAGCTTCGGACTCACAATGCTTTGCATTTCCTAGTATACAAATATAGACACACAGCGTTACAGACAGAAAATGCCAAAACTACTTTTTTGATCTTTTTATTATAGATGCATCAAAATCATAATTTCAGTCATCAAAGCATATAGAAGTATGAGTCCTCCGCTTCACTCTGAACAATTAAATACTTATTATAATTACTTATTAAGTACTTTAGCAAATTTATAACCAATACTAGACACTGTAAAGTTTAACCAACTATTACTTCTAATATTATTAATAATAATACTTTTCAAGCACAATTAAACCAAAATACTACTACACATTAACAAGAATCAAATACAAATCTCTATCAACCTCAACAGCAAGACAATATATTAGCTAAGCAACCTTTATTACAAACAGAAAATACCTCTTCTCTATAACAACCCTTAACAAAAAATACACAACACCAATCTTTAACTACTCTAAATAATACAACTCAAAATACAACTCAACAAGATGATCTAAATCAGCAGAATACTAACTCAAATCAAA